GGTTTCCCCCCAGCTAATGAAACGATCGCGTATATTTTGAACCGGCTGGTGGTAATACCCAATCAGCTTGCAGGCCCAGTTGGCTGTGCTAATTAAGCCACGCCTTCTCGTTAGCTTCGTTTGGGTTGTGACACATACAGACCTCAAATTACGTACTTTTAACTAAGCACAGCAGCGCTAGGTTTACGTTTTCACACTCTTTTCTCGGCAATCGTATTGTACATCAGACCGCTTCATAATGATTTGAGAAAAATCTATTTATATTTTTCGTGATACTTGCACTTTAACTATTCGCCACTGTGTTTTGGTGTTTGTAGAATTAATTACAGTATCTAGTTTGTGGTTATATTCAGCTTCACAGCTCCTGATTTCTGCAATAATCATATTTCAATATTTTCTAAATTTATCCCCCTCTTCCGTCAACGTATACGTTTTCTAATATGGCCATTCGCCCAGGGGCCATCATTAGGGCGGATAATAACTTCTTTCTCAGGTATATGTTTTGACAAAGGTCATTGAACTTACACAATCCTTTATGCTTCGTTAACATCTTTATTGTTTAGGACACATTCCCAATCTATATCGACATGTTACTCTGAAAAGCCTGGATATGAATTCCTGAAGTTAAAAATAAAAAGAGTTTTCCGTCTGTTTAGGAGGCCATTGAACAAGTTGTACCAAACAGTGATCACTGCACACGGGAGACGATACCCCACTTGACTGTACTGTCAGGACATGGAACAAATACAAGATCAGTCAATGTAGATCATTTCTAACGTTAGTCGTGCAGGCCATGGCCTTAATACGTGCCGTCTTAAACTAACAACGTGACAATGTAAAGTCAGTTGTTACTGGCATAATCAGGAAACATTGCCACTTGTACACACATTCAGTAATACTTTACAGAGAAATCGCTGACAGTCCTTGGAGATAAAATCCTCTACAAATCACTGATCATGTTGATGAGTCACCGCATTCTTGTTTAGGTTAAACATACATGTTATTCTAATGAAAAGGATTGGGCACAAACTAGAACGACCCCTTCCACAGATTTACATGCATGCATATTTACAATTGATACATTAAGTGACAGAAAGGAAAGATGATAAATAGGGAAACGTTCGTCCATTGACATTGCTCACTCGAACCTTTTTGTTTTCTTTAGATATATGTATGTACATTCCTAAACATGTTTCCGTTCACGTGATTTAGTAATGCTTCATTGCCAACTAGCTTCAAGTATATTGAACAATTAACAATACAGAGTGCGTCAATTCATTTCTAGCTGATTTAATAAATGGACAGTCAATGAAAGAAATATATGAATATTCACATGGATCCTTTTAAAAACCTTTTCTAAGTAATTCATTTTTACATTCACTATCACCATGTCCTTATTTTATATGTATAATGTTAATTATTCCGGGGGCATACGAGAAATATGGTGAAACTGTAGATTTATTAGTTCTTAAACTGGATTTAAAACGTGAGATTTCAAAATGCATTTGTTGAATGGGTAATGTATTCCACAATTGAAGAGGATGGTATGAACGAGATTAAGAAATCATTGTCGTATTAAATGCATATTATATTATGAGCAGCTCTTCGGTTGTGTGCTATGTTTGTCCCTACAGAGTGAGGTGCAAGATCTTTAAGGTATGACGGTGTCATATTGGTATACATTTTTTTATAAAATGAACAATTTACGTTTTTTTCTCTGCGCTCTGATAAGGGCTCAAAGGTAGTTTCCACGTATATTTTAACAGAAGTATAACGACAATTTAATACCCAGGTGTTTTTTGTGTGTTAACATTTTTCCGTGTTTTCATTATCCAAAAATAATCATCAGAGATTTATGTGACTTTTTGCGGAAACAAAAATTGATTTTGTTTTGCAGAGATTAAAAGAATTAACCAATCGTCAGCCTATTCGTTAAGTTTGTTTTTAAATGCTATTCAAAGTATTTTCTATATATTCAATGTTATTGGAAGATATGCCCAGCGATGTGTCGTCGGCAAATGATGTTGAACAGTTCGTGTTATCAGTAATATCATTGATATACACAAGGAACAGGAAAGGGCCCTGGCGTACACCAGCTTTTAACTCTTCAGTATCAGACAGTGTGCCATTTAAAAAGACAGACTGTTTGCGAGGTGTTACGTAATCAGACACTCTAATAATTCATCGTTTAAACCATAGCATCTCACTATGCCATACTCTATCAAACGCCTTCGAAGTATCACAGAATGCCATCCAATAGAACTTTGTTATCGACTGTTGTGCACACTTCAATTCTTCTAGTTGGTGGCCGGTCCCGTGACAGGCTTGGAATCCTAATTGACATTTGTACAACAACGAATTCTCATGAAAAGAATTATGCACGAACTTGAACACAACTCGTTTGAAGCCTCCCGATACAGCTAATCAAACACATTAGTATTTTATTTGAGGATAGTGTTGGATCACCATTTTTATGAAAGTGGCATTGCATGAGCTATAATTTCCATTGCCTTGGTTAGGTACGCGTTCTCAGCGAAAAATTATATATTAAACATAAGGCTTCAATTAAAGACGCTACAGTATGTTTTAGAAAAAAATAATATTTTTGCGATCTGGGCCCTAAGTGTTATTGAAAGGGTGATAATTTATTATATCACTTATTTCATATTCGTTTATTCTCGTTGTGCTAATGTTTTACATATACACTTTTTCACATTTGGCAGCCCCGCCTCACTTCCAGCAACATCTGTTCAAGACATGTTTAACCTCAAAAGCTTTATCTAAATCTGAGTAATATATTTCGGCTTTCGTCTGTATACCTGCGCACTGGGGAAAAAGATGGCGTCCATCTCGCAACAATTTCCAAAAAGAAAATTTGGTTTCTGGGTATAATTTTAAAACGAAATTGTCGAAATTAGAGTAAAACATTTCCTTTGCGTAACATTTCATATTATTTATTTGTTTTCTGAGCAAAGTTCTGTCTTTGTCTTCATTTGTTTTTCTTGCAGTCTTAAGTAACCTAAATATTTCTTCTCCTTATTTCTTTCCGTAATTCAGAATTAAACAATGGTTTATCATTAGGTCGAATTATAACTATTTTAGACGGTGCACACATTTTGATATAATTATTAAATTATGAGTAAATTATTCAATAGATTCATCAATATCTTTACATTTGTTAAAACCCGTGAAGATCCGGGGTAGAATAGGTCTTCAGCAACTCATGCTTGCCGTGCAAGGCGACTATGCTGGTAGTAAGAGGTGACTAAGGGGGTGGTCAGGCTCGCTTAGATCTATGCTCATGATGTCAATCACTGGATTGTCTGGTCCAAATTCATATAGCCGTCATATAGCTGGAATTTTGCTGAGTGCGGAGTTAAATAACAAACAAAACATTTATTGAAAAGGTCAATCCAATCAGTTGATTGAATGAGATTGTTTCATTTATCAAATTCACCACTTCGATAACACCATATATCTTTAGTAAATGATGACTTGGTTATAAATGCGTTTTCACTGATATATACATGCCCCTGTGATCACTAGTCACATAATAAAAACCAATCACCCCAGAGTCATCAACAGGAACATCGTCACTTACAATTATCGGATCTAGTAAAGTACTCGTTGTTTTTTAAATCCGAGTAGGTTCATTTATGAAATTGCATAAAATTGTCCTGTCTAACAAATCATTGATATGCAGTTTTCTCTCAGACAAAAGACCTTCATTCATATATCCAACAATCACTAAACTACATATAATGTCGAGCGCATCTTCATTACTGTCAACTAGGTGATTCCAGAAATTATTGTTATGATACTCGGGTTTGTACACAACACACAGTATCAATGATTGTTTTCTGTATTGATATCTGTATCCTTATAGTAACTGTTACATCAAGAACATTTTCTAATACAATCCATTTTAATAGGCTTACGACCCCTACCCCAAATGTAGTTCTATCATCTTCTTCCTCTTCTTCTTCTTTGTGTGTGTGTGTGTGTGTGTGTGTGTGTGTGTGTGTGTGTGTGTGACAGTCGGAACAATACTCACTTATTTATATTATTGCGTACACCTCTTCTTTCGAGGTGAAATACAGACACACATTTCTCCTGCTGGTTATTTTCACGGTTCAGTGGGCCCGGGTTGAGCTCCACGTCCCCGGCAAGCTGTAGATACAACAAGAGGACAAAGTCATCGATATCCCCCGCAATGGTAACTACTTGTCGTGGATAAAATATGTAACTTGTTTGAAAAATATTTGTTTAAAAAATCCCAAGCCATAAAAAGGCATCAGTTCACCACTAGACCAATCTATGTGCCAAGACATATTGCACCACGGGCGGTGTCCATGTTAATACCCCGGCACACCGGGTACATGAAGGAATGCACATGCTTTCCATTCGGTATAACGCCCACTGTGTGCAATTCGTTCAAGACAGGTTTTTTAGCGACATAATAGATATAATTTTAGCTAGCTTTGCTGTGTTAGGATTGTAATTTAACACGGAAAATCCCAATCGTCACACGATGTTGCGCAATGTCATTTACCCACATGTAGGATTGATTTTTGGAGTAGGTGCTTTTTGTTTGGCGACATAATTGACGGCGGTATATTTGGATCGTAAACTTGCATGAACAAGAGCAGATCACACGGACACATGAAACATGATCAAATGAGGGACGCAATGTTAAGTGAGCCCAAACAAAGATACAGCTGAGTGCTGCTTGATGATGATAGTTTGTGCATGAGGATAGGCACCACGGAACAGAGTAACATCAGGTGAGACTATGTTCAACAGTTACTAGTGTTCACGGGAGTGCTGATGTATAGGTGTAACACACCATACGATGTGTCCGCGTTCTAGCATCAGGAGCTGTGCAGCAATACAGTTTCTTCACGTCTCGGGAGATCCATGTGTGGCTAGGGGGAGAATATTCCAAGGATATTTTCAGTTTCAGATAAAACCCTGGACGCTTGTAGTGATAACTAAGTTTATTGCAAATAATAAGTGAAAATAATCCCCAAATCAATGTCAGGTAATTGTCATTAACCCATATACAAACTTTTAGTTCTAATGAAAAATGACTTTTGTCAGTGTTGTGTACATGAATAACAAATTGAAACGCAAAACTTTTAATTTGAAAAAACAAGAAACCACTAATGTTGCAAACGTCTGGAGTAAGATCTGCAAACACGTAAGTATGTACTAGTGACCAAAGTGTTAGCAGCAAGTGAAAAAAGGCTATCTGATAATAGCACTACAAAGCTGCTGATAAAAGAAAAGAAGAAAGTGGCCAGTATAAATGACCTTCTGGTACAAATCCCTCAACCTTTCTGAAGTAAATGACATGAAACTAGACGAGATTGAACATCACTGTCCTGCCTGGGGGGATGACGTCACTGGCTGGGCAGGGGAGTTTGTTTGCAACAGTTTTATTCTTTTCTCCCAGTCCTTTATGTCAACGGCTATTGTATCTTTCTTGTCATCCAGCCTGTCCGCGCATGGGCCAGTCTTGCTGGTGAATGCGATTCCGCGGAAATTTCCCTTGACCCTAACTTCAATAACGTAGGTGTCCTCCTCACCCGCCGCTGTCCCCGCCGATGTCCCCTCCTGACCCACCGCTGTCCCCGCCGATGTCTCCTCCTTACCCACCGCTGTCCCCGCCGATGTCTCCTCCTTACCCACCGCTGTCCCCACCGCTGTCTCCTCCTTACCCACCGCTGTCCCCGCCGATGTCTCCTCCTTACCCACCGCTGTCCCCGCCGATGTCTCCTCCTTACCCACCGCTGTCCCCACCGCTGTCTCCTCCTTACCCACCGCTGTCCCCGCCGATGTCTCCTCCTTACCCACCGCTGTCCCCACCGCTGTCTCCTCCTTACCCACCGCTGTCCCCGCCGATGTCTCCTCCTTACCCACCGCTGTCTCCGCCGATGTCTCCTCCTTACCCACCGATGTCCCCGCCGATGTCTCCTCCTTACCCACCGCTGTCTCCACCTCTGCCTCCGATGTTGAATGAAACGAAATCTCGACTAGATTATTGATCTCGTCTTCTCCATATTTGTCTCCCTGTTCGTTATGCCATAGCATGTTCTCAGTGATGTCGGTCATGATGTTCGCCTTAACAACCTCATGCATGTCCGGGGACATCAGGATTCCGTTAACAACATAATGGTGAGTTGGGGGGCCGTCCCCTGTCTGTGACCGAGTTGCTTTTTTCCGCTCTTTTTCCTGCCCTTTTTCCTCTTCTATGCCGTAATAAATTGCTCCCCCTTCTGTTAGCTTTGTAAAGGCTGTAACGTAATCAGATAGGCGATCCATGACCTTGTTGGTGATGTTATTAATATTCTGCTCTCTGATATTATTACCATCATTAGTCTCAGTCTTCTTCTGGGAGTCTGTGAGACGAAGGCGCTTGAACTGCACATCTCTTGATTTATATCCAGAAAGAAGTCTTTTCTTTTCTCTACCCTTTACTTTTATTTCTTGTTTATTCACGTTATTCTCTTCGTGTGGTTTCGTTTCTGTGGAAACACGTGTCAGCACTCCAGCCAGTTCTCTTGCCTTGGGCCTGATGATGCTGCCATACCTAGGCATGTACGTGTTGAAGTCGCGTGTGGAGATGGACCCTGACCCGGAGACGTGCAGCAAGATGTAATCTGTGTACCTGTGGCCCGCGCCTGATTCCACCCCCTGACAGCCATCTATCCAATAACGGGTGTAATTCTCACAGAACGGTGTGTCATCCTCAATCATGTTGCTTAGATCATTTTCAACCTCATCAAACCTATCCAGAGATGGACCAAACTTCTGATCCCTGCCTGTGACGTGGATGACCAGAATGCCCCCCCGTGAGTTCCGCAACGAGCACACTTTCTTCAACAACTTTTCTTTAAACGTCTGTCTAGTCTCTTTCCGAAGGTGGAACAGAATGCTCTGCGCCACATCCATGTGCAGTGTATTTCTCTCATTTATATTATCTATACATGCTTTATACTTCTTTTCGCATTTACTGCAAGACATGTCTGAAACAACAAAGAAAACGATTCTATACAATGTCAAGCTGTTTTGACAACTAGTATGACGTACATGTAAACATTTTGACAAAGTAAATTCATCATAATAAAACCATTGTTTCAATTGACTTGACAAGATTTATTCAGATTTTGGGACCTGGAACAACCAGATAGTACAACCTGTCTAACCTGGAACAACCAGATAGTACAGCCTGTCTAACCTGGAACAACCAGATAGTACAGCCTGTCTTACCTGGAACAACCAGATAGTACAGCCTGTCTTACCTGGAACAACCAGACAGTACAACCTGTCTAACCTGGAACAACCAGATAGTACAGCCTGTCTTACCTGGAACAACCAGATAGTACAGACTGTCTAACCTGGAACAACCAGACAGTACAACCTGTCTAACCTGGAACAACCAGATAGTACAGCCTGTCTTACCTGGAACAACCAGATAGTACAGCCTGTCTAACCTGGAACAACCAGATAGTACAGCCTGTCTAACCTGGAACAACCAGACAGTACAGACTGTCTAACCTGGAACAACCAGATAGTACAGCCTCTCTTACCTGGAACAACCAGATAGTACAACCTGTCTAACCTGGAACAACCAGATAGTACAGCCTGTCTTACCTGGAACAACCAGATAGTACAGCCTGTCTAACCTGGAACAACCAGATAGTACAACCTGTCTAACCTGGAACAACCAGATAGTACAACCTGTCTAACCTGGAACAACCAGATAGTACAACCTGTCTAACCTGGAACAACCAGATAGTACAGCCTGTCTTACCTGGAACAACCAGATAGTACAGCCTGTCTTACCTGGAACAACCAGACAGTACAGCCCGTCTAACCTGGAACAACCAGATAGTACAGCCTGTCTAACCTGGAACAACCAGATAGTACAGCCTGTCTAACCTGGAACAACCAGATAGTACAGTCTGTCTAACCTGGAACAACCAGATAGTACAGCCTGTCTTACCTGGAACAACCAGATAGTACAACCGGTCTAACCTGGAACAACCAGATAGTACAACCTGTCTAACCTGGAACAACCAGATAGTACAACCTGTCTAACCTGGAACAACCAGACAGTACAGCCTGTCTAACCTGGAACAACCAGATAGTACAGCCTGTCTAACCTGGAACAACCAGATAGTACAGCCTGTCTTACCTGGAACAACCAGATAGTACAGCCTGTCTAACCTGGAACAACCAGATAGTACAACCTGTCTAACCTGGAACAACCAGACAGTACAGCCTGTCTTACCTGGAACAACCAGATAGTACAACCTGTCTAACCTGGAACAACCAGATAGTACAGCCTGTCTAACCTGGAACAACCAGACAGTACAGCCCGTCTTACCTGGAACAACCAGATAGTACAGCCTGTCTTACCTGGAACAACCAGATAGTACAACCGGTCTAACCTGGAACAACCAGATAGTACAACCTGTCTTACCTGGAACAACCAGACAGTACAGCCTGTCTTACCTGGAACAACCAGATAGTACAGCCGGTCTAACCTGGAACAACCAGATAGTACAACCGGTCTAACCTGGAACAACCAGATAGTACAACCGGTCTAACCTGGAACAACCAGACAGTACAGCCTGTCTTACCTGGAACAACCAGATAGTACAGCCTGTCTAACCTGGAACAACCAGATAGTACAGCCCGTCTAACCTGGAACAACCAGATAGTACAGCCTGTCTTACCTGGAACAACCAGATAGTACAACCGGTCTAACCTGGAACAACCAGATAGTACAACCTGTCTAACCTGGAACAACCAGATAGTACAGCCTGTCTAACCTGGAACAACCAGACAGTACAGCCTGTCTAACCTGGAACAACCAGACAGTACAGCCTGTCTTACCTGGAACAACCAGATAGTACAGCCTGTCTTACCTGGAACAACCAGATAGTACAGCCTGTCTAACCTGGAACAACCAGATAGTACAGCCTGTCTAACCTGGAACAACCAGATAGTACAGCCCGTCTAACCTGGAACAACCAGATAGTACAGCCTGTCTAACCTGGAACAACCAGATAGTACAGCCTGTCTTACCTAGAACAACCAGATAGTACAACCTGTCTAACCTGGAACAACCAGATAGTACAGCCTGTCTTACCTGGGACAACCAGATAGTACAGCCTGTCTAACCTGGAACAACCAGATAGTACAGCCTGTCTTACCTGGAACAACCAGATAGTACAGCCTGTCTTACCTGGAACAACCAGATAGTACAACCTGTCTAACCTGGAACAACCAGATAGTACAGCCTGTCTTACCTGGAACAACCAGATAGTACAACCTGTCTAACCTGGAACAACCAGATAGTACAACCCGTCTAACCTGGAACAACCAGACAGTACAGCCTGTCTTACCTGGAACAACCAGATAGTACAACCTGTCTAACCTGGAACAACCAGATAGTACAGCCCGTCTTACCTGGAACAACCAGATAGTACAACCTGTCTTACCTGGAACAACCAGATAGTACAGCCTGTCTAACCTGGAACAACCAGATAGTACAGCCTGTCTAACCTGGAACAACCAGATAGTACAGCCTGTCTAACCTGGAACAACCAGATAGTACAGCCTGTCTAACCTGGAACAACCAGACAGTACATACATGCACTGATTAAAGCAGAAGGAATTGAGAATATATGTATAAATCTGAGTAAGAAGTTTTATGTTCAATGAAGAGCACTGATCTGTTGTTAACCCAAAGAATATTTGTTTGTTGTTGTTCTCGATCTACGTGGAATTGAACGCCTAAATTGATTTGACCAACCTGAGACTTGGTTTATTTATTTATCACACCAAATAATTCGCAGGTGCAACACGAAGTTCTCATTACAAGTTCGAGCTTGAAGCTATGTGTTCCAACAGCGTACAGTTCAAGTTTCATTTTTGTAGCTATTTTGCAGCGATGGGGATATTTTCAGCGTGGTACCTTCTCAACACAATCTATGCGATTCTCGTGGGGCGAAGCAAGAGATTTTACGACGCGTCAGACAATGTTCACTCAGGTATACAGGGAGTACGATTACATCTCTAGTTAAACTAAATTAAGTACAAGCTCCACCACACTGCGTGACACCTTCGCTACTTCGGTACTCCCCGACACTATGGAATGATGCATCACTGCAGTCACTTGGTTTTTGAATAAGCACTGATGTCAAGATAGACACAATTTTATGGATAACAACTTCTTTATTACTGTGAAAAGGGACGTTTCGGTATAGGTCCTTATGCCGTTGTCAAGCAAGCAGTCTTACTCAGATTTATACAGTAATAAAGAAGTCAACTTTTTAGTAATGACTATCAAACAATTTAAAGCACTGATGTACCAACATATTTCTGAATGGTCATTAATTTCCATTTTGGGGGACGGAGCATGTACACTTGAAATCTTTATCAAATACACATTGTAGACATACTCGTCGGGAAAAGTGCACAGAAAAACGTTAAAAGTTTGTTAGCCTGTCTGGCTCGGCAGGACTTGTCGGCTCGGAGTCAGTATACTGAGTCTGAGTGAGGTATTCATGTAAAACTCAGGCATGGTATCAACGAAATCGTAACGCGCGGCACAGTGACAGCCCCACCACCACCACACACATACCTTTGAAACAAATGTCTATGTCGGGTGATTTGCAGCTATAATTAGGACAAATCAAATACCCGTCCTATTCGTCCTAGATGTCACATTATATGTCTAGTTTCGGTTTAGAGCTCAGTGACACTGGGGTAGGCAACTGAGCACCATATGCCGTACATATCCTACACTGCAGGCCACGACGTGTTCACGGCAGTACATCCTGCACAAGGGCGGATGCAGTATTTTCAGAAAGGAGGGTCCAACATATCACAATCCTCTCTCAGTCAATGTTACTGCCTACAACACACTACATTGGGTTTTCAAAAGGGTTGGGGAGAGGGGTGGGGTCTCTTTTAACCTGAGATGTTCAGCTTGTCCCTTATTTTGCATCGTTGCACAGATGCATCAACTGCATAAGCAGCATTGATATCCATGCTAAATGGGCCTCAGGGCGGTGCAGTCCCAGCAGAACACCCACACCCACACACCGGGATGAAAATGACAGCCCTTCTACATACCCGTAGCTTGTTGTTCCGGCTCACAGTGTGTGCTTGTTGTGGGTACAGTGTAGCTATCTGTCGACCCAAACATGATAATATCCAAGTTCGAGACAAGATGATCCTCTTAAACGGGTAAACTTGCCACGGCGATAGTGACGACAGTGACGAACTGTCAGCAGAATTCGACCTGAATGCTGCACGGTATACCCGTGTACTTCCTGGTTGGGTGGGTCTCATATAGTGTTAGTGTTACGGGAGGGAAGTAAGTGCTGGGGCTGGGACGTGACCAACACTGGCCCAGCAGTCGGGTCGATCAAGCTTAAGACTCGGCTCCATGGAAAACACAATACTCAACGTTTGGCACAATATGCTGGCATGCCAACCAGGCTGAATTATTGACATGTTATACCTGCAAGTGTTGAGTCTGTGGGTTGTTGCAGTAGCCATTGAACCATTGTTGGTTCGCGAACAAGTACGTTTGAAGTTGAAAGTGTATAGGTGCTAATAAACACAACACCTTACACAAAGCTAAACAAAGTATCAACGCAACATTCACAGCTGCTGCCTAATTAGAGAGTGGGCCATGTGATTTTCAGGTTTCAGATTTTGGTTTTATATAATATTGTTAATGCTCACGACTCATATATTATTTGTAACATAAACAGGCGTTCAATTTAAATATGATTTATTACTTGCCCGTGAAGAGACCACTCTTTAAATAAACATACACCTGTACTACATACACATTGTGTAATACCAAAGCGCGTGCTGATGTACTGCGGGAACAAGTGTCACGAACAAATATTGAAAACTCTCAACATCCCTGCATGGGGTCATTCAACGATATTGCGTGCAGACTGAGAGGAGCTTGTAGCAGTATGCTTGTAATATTTTTCATAATTCTTCGGTGCCATTATTGTTTAACAGACATGTTCGTGTTGCAGGACTTTTGCAGGACCTCCCAGAAGACGCCTACAAGGCTATGCTATTTCTGATAACTGGTTCTGCTGTAACATAGAATATATTTCGGGACGCCATTTTCTGTGGCAGGGGAGAATGTAGCAGTATGCTTGCAAATAGAATATTGTTAGATTCTAAAGTATCATTATAGTAACATGAATTAAATTAATAAGATAACCTAAATATTTAACATTTATTTTCCTAAATACTTGTATTAACCAGCACTTGCACTAATCTACTAATTCACAGGTAAGCTAGTTCTGTATATAGCTTGGGTAGTTCAGCCATTTCGTTCTTAGGTCCATGGCTATTGTCACTGGGTCGTTCAGGGCTTGGCCTGTGATTAGGTGCTCTTTGTTATCTAGCTTTTTGCATGTTCTCTGCAATCATGTGGATACCCTGATCACAACTTCTACTTGTCAGTCAGCACATATTTCTCTACACTGAATCATATAGGGTAAGTTCATTTTATTGTTACTTTATTTATCTGGAAGCTTAGGTTACTATGTATTTTAAGCATTGTTGTTGTATATAGTGTTTTAGCTAGCATTGTATTATGACATTGTAATGTATTCTTAATAGAACTTAACTGTGTACATTATATTAAATAGATATAAACTGGTTAGAAGTGATATATGTATATGTATCATGTATATATGTATAGTATTTTGTAGAATTTATAATGCTTGTATTCCATGCATGCTAGTGTAACTGTGGCTATGTAATATACTTATATGTAATATACTTGTTTGTGCAGGGCTATTCACTGCACGTCTGTCTATAAGAGAGGTTCCAGCCTGCGTCCCTGAGACGAGGTATGCTATTTATGTTTTATTAATTATGCATGATTAACTATATATAGAGTGTAATTTGTTTTATCTGGAAGGATTTGTTCATATATATATGCCAAAAGTAAGGAACTATAGATCTAAATGTATTATTAGTATTGTTGTTATTTAGTGCCTTTATAAAGTCCATACTCATGATATTTATATCAAATGATGTATGTTTTAGGGCAGATCCGGACTACCGTGTAGTTCTCACTCTACGCCCATTGAAAATAAATGCCTTTGAACCCAACTAGTACTCCCTTATCTTTGAGAGGACCAGAGTACCGCTGTAGAAAGCTTATGCAGCTCCACGATCACAGCAACACTGTTGCTTGGATGACATCACATGACATTGTTTCGCCGGTAGAACAAAATTCCACACTCCGGCGCAGTGGTGACTCAGCATAACACTATCCTGGCTGGCTGCCGGCCGCATGGAACTATGGGTAGGAGACTGAATAAATTCCACAAATTACGTCATAGGGTATTGTGACGTGATTGCAAACTTTCTTGTGCAGGACCCCATTCCAAAAGGCGATCGTCACGCAACGACTCTTGTACGTCTATGTCACTCTCCTACCCAGAGTTCCTTGCGGCCGGCAGCCAGCCAGCATTGCGCCGGAGTGTGCGTCTATGTATGTTTGTTGTTTGGTTATTGTTAACGCCGCACTCGGCAATATTTCAGCTACATGACGGCGGTCTGTAAATAATCAAGTCTGGATCAGACAATCCAGTGACTGACGTCATGATCTGTATTTATGGGAGAATCAAATACACAGTGAATCTGATACTTGTGTGACGTCACAATGCAACAGTTGAATTCGAGTGAACTCAACAATCAGCATAGTCTACAATCAGCATGACGCACACATTATCGTGATCAGTAAGGAAGTACTGAAAATGTTCACATCCGTGCCCATTTTATATCATGTCCAGTCCAGTAGAAATTTACAGGTGGCAAAAAATCACCAGTGGTCAGGATTGTGTTTGGTATGGAGAATAATTAAACGCATTCATATACCCCCTAGAGGCCTGAAGGGCATACGTGTTGTATTTTTCCAACAGAAAGTTCCCGCAGTGAGGCTAGATCGCGTAGAATATGGTATACCATGAAGACTGGAATCACCCATTTCGGTACCATTCAAAGTTATGTCCTCTGTTTATGCATATTAGTTAGCACGTGGTGTATAGAAGTGATCACAGTGCCATGTTAATTAACTATGTCTATCAATATATAATAACCTTACAAAATATTCTGACAAATTTGTGGTCTACGGGACTACGACATTTGTGTATGTCTTCGAGGTCTCACAACGTACAGGGTAACATAACTTATTCAGGTCAGAAACCCCCGATATCTAAAAATAACCCACATGCACAGTTCCGCCATATTCAGGACGCGCCGGGAAACGGATATGACGTGGGTTAGGACATTCACACAAAATACAGTTGTATATGCTTTGAAATTGTCTATCATCATGTCAGCAAATGCAAGCGCCAAATGTAAGTTATTTACTTTTCATATAGACATTTAGGCAAATACTAACTTAAAGGATCAATCGAGGGCCGATCTTTTCCGAACCTGCTGGACTGGGCTACCTGTGTCGCCTTCAGAGGTAGATTTTAGATATATTTTCCCGATACCGTCCATATGACAGTTTACTTGTCTGAACAAATTCGCCTGCTCCGGTCTTGTTATTGATCGTTGAAACGACATACTTAGACATACAATATCCATGGCGGGTATGAGATTATCTGCTGGATCAAGCCAGCCTTGTCACTGATGTAGGTCATGACCTGGACCTGTCACGTGATCGGTCTCTTAAAACAGGCAGGTAGAATTCTTTCATCCTTGTTCAGGGCAAAGCCTCACAAGTTTCTATATGATCAGATAAAATCTATTTCCTCTTCACTGCCTGAGATTTAACTTAACTAAGACTCTCAGTAAACAGGCTATCATGTATATCATATGCACCTGTAGGATCTGGAATATAGATTAGGAGATGTTGGCTACTAAACTCATGAACGTCCAACCTTGCACTGTGAGTGGGTATGTCTCTGGGTGATGATCTGACCACCCCTTCAAACAAGTCACATCAGCTGAACCCTGAGCACACCTGGATCCTGATTTCCCCGTTGCATGGGTTCCTTAGACACTCTGTCAGCTTTCTAAAACAATATACTTTTATTTCTGTACCACCGTGTTTTGGAAATCTGGATCTTAACAGATCACCCAAGCAGAATGCAAGTATTCCTTTCATAGAACTCCATTTTGGATGTAGATGTCTTGGCGCTAAGAAACATCATGTGTTATGTAAGATGTATTTACTTTGAAATGTTTCCTGTTGTCAAACAGACAGTACGTCTCAAATCAATACATTAGAGCTCTGGACAGTGAAGCCGACAATGCATGCTGGATTCAGTAAACTGGATTCAGTTTTGTTTTTTAAAAGAAGCAAATTGAAGAGATTCCCAGCCTGATTAGATTAGAAGCAAAGTGTTAAGCAAAGCCTAGATAACAATATAAGTATACCTCAGCTGTATAAAGCCAATCACACTCTACCCAGGAATCCCTGCAGCCAGTCAAGTCACATCTTACAGTCTCTTCATGTGTTTTTAAGTTTCATTTTGGAAGAATCTACACATTTAGATAAACATACGTCATTAAATGTTTAACTTTAATTGAGAAAATATCCAAAAACGTGAAAAACTATTTCCATTTGTGTATATATCCTATAATGTCATGCACCTCACTGTTGTAGTTATAAAATTAGTTATCTATATAATTATGCATTTGTTTACAAACAAGAGAAAAGTCCGGTCACATGATAATACTACACTGGTCACTGAAGCAGAATCGGAATAAGGTCGAGAAGATCCGAGTAAGCTCGGGGGTAATTGGCTGTTGTTTACATACAAAGCTTCAGAACGGTCAACGTCCTGTCCCTTTAATACAACATATGACCCTACACTATAAAACTCATGTACTCACTAGACACCTGCCCACTTTAGCATGTTTAGATTGTTATGCAGTCAGTAGTTTGATGGTAAGTACTATAACACAGGATTGCTACCATGTGTTGATGATGGTGAAAAAGGAAGCTACATCCTCTCGCACCAAGGTGCAGACCCAGTACAGCATGGTGTATTAAATATCCACGACAGTGTAATAGCACATCTTTTATTATTTTCATTCGGAACTCCCCACCTGAAACAAATGAACTGTGTTGTGGTTTGTCTGTCATGAACTTTTGCATTTTCTACTTTACTCTCAAACTACAAGGCCCTAAGCAGCTGAACGTGTGTATGAACGATCACTGTCACAGAGGCGCATGGATAGAGAGAACACCCTACAGGGTTAGATGTACAGCAACACTTACCATTGCTGGTGGGCATGGCAGTATTTAGAGTGACAGCCCTAGTTACCACGTACATAGGCTTAGATTTGCCTGGAGAGCATGGGACATAATCAGCCTAGACCAGGTGCATACCAAGCTGGAGGTATGACATTCCAAAATTTCGGCTGAGGGCGGGGAAGAGGTGAACTAAGAAAGCCAAGATGCAGACGGGGACCTTTAGTAAGAAATTGTAATGCACCAGACATTGCTGGACCCCCCTAGTGCCATGTTGCCTGTATGGACACTGCAAGATCCTGCTTCCACTTCTTGTTCAGTTGGTCAGGGAAACTGTCTCTCCAGTAGTCAGGAGGTGCAGGTGAAACTGCTACCACTTTAGCGTGTTGCAGTGAATAGTGTGCAAAGCAGGGACATTTCTGCTGTTTTAGCTGTTGGTAATTGTAACAATGTAAACAACAGTGTTTGTGTAATGTATCTTCATTTTGGGAGATATATATAGGAACTTTTTGAATGTTCTGTGAGTGTTCAATCTAAATGTGTGAAAAATGATAGGATGTGATATGAGTGTGCCTCAATTGTTTTACACAGTCAGAAGATCCGGGGTGGAAAAGGTCTTCAGCAACCCATGCTTGTTGTAAAAGGCAACTATGCTTGTCTTAAGAGGTGACTAATGGGATCGGGTAGTCAGCCTCGTTGACTTGGTTGATGCATGTCATCGTATCCCATTTGCTTGGATTAATGCTCATGATGTCAATCACCATATTGTCTGGTCCGGACTCGATTATTTACAGACCTCCGTCATATAGCTGGAATATTGCTGAGTGCGGTGTTAAACAACAAACAAACAAACATTAGTTGGGTTGGTCTAATTTCCTCCTGTTTCCTAGGCACTCTGTCGTGATGCTGCTGACTCCACACCATGTGTGAGGCGCCATCTGCTGGCACAAAACGACCACTACCAGACAGTGCCACTGACCACGAGCACACCAAGCGACAACGAAGAGAAGCATCTTCAGAATCACAAGAGTAAGACTTGCAATATTGATAATAACTTGTTAGTTAGTGCCAGTGACATTTTGGTGTAGATTCTTACACATTAATCAACCAATGTTATTGACAAGGATGTCATTAATCATGCATGTATGACACTTTGAAGGCATGGCAATGAAAATCAAGAAATGTGAATGTCTTTGCATAGACAAATAAATTAATACAGAACTCTATGCAAGAGATTTTGATGTGATCAAGATAGTGTGAGTGTTTAATCTTCAAATCCTCGGCTAATGTACATGGTAATATGAAGCTGTGCCATTAAGTTTAGTTATCATACCTCCGTGTCAGAATGATGAGGTCTGATTGGTCCATGTGGTGTTGATAAAATACTATGTATCCTGCCTTGGTGGGAATAAATTTCACAGCGGATGAATAAATCCCTTATACCCGCCACAGCAAGTCAGGCGGCACATGGATTTCTAAGGGGATGAATAAAATCCCTTTTCCCCCGCTTCAAAGCAAAAAGTCATGTGACATAGCACAAGTTAACCTCGGCTCAATTGAACTGCTGTTTTCTATCATTTTTTAATTTGTTTTAATTCCAATTTAAATGGGCCGTATAAAACCTCATGTACTTTGAGTGATTCTGCTACAACTATATTCTATCAAACCTACAATGACGCCATCCGAACATGAACAGTCCATTAGCAGAACGGTGGGTTAGGGTACTATTAGTGTGTCATGGAACCAAACATGCATCATGCGTTAATATATTCCTAAGATGCAGGGGTCTGATAGAGAAACTGTGTTTTGCATTGAAACATTCCGATCAAGTTCATCACAGGGTCAGAAGTGATGCGTGAGTCGAGTGGAGAGAACTGATACTGCCTATGTCCACTGGTAGATGACAGGAACAAGCAAGCACTCTTATGCTAAACCAGAATTGTGGGAAAATGGTGGGGAATACCGTAATTTATTGACTGTTATGGGGCTCTATTTGTTCCAATATTGTTGTTTTATGTTATTAGGATTCGCTGACATACAAAGAAGGCATTGAAAGAGTGTCGCACAGCTACAACATACGTGAACAAACACCCCCCCCAAAAAAATTAGGCAAGCTCTGGAACATTTATTTCCACACTGCATGTCACTATTATGACGTCATATCGCTCATTGTGACTGAAAGATATGACCTCACAGTTGTCTACAAATACCAAATGTGAAGCTCTCTGTGTTCCATAAAACTTGAAATACACTCTCTCAATCAATGTTGATATAGAATTGTATTATCTGCCAAAAATGTCGTGATGGCAAATCTGTATTTTGCTACCTATAATTTACAAACAGTAAACTACATTTATAACAAACACCCTTATAACGAACTGGTGGATATAACAAACTATATTTTATCCTGGCCATTTGCTGTTTATATGTGTATATGCTTATAACAATCAATGGTTATAGCAAACTAAAATTAGTGGTTCCTTTGAGTTCGTTATAACCGTAGTTTACTGTATCATTATAAGGAAACCCAACTGACACTGACTAAGAAAGAAGTATTTTTCTATGAATATGAGTTTTTGTGGTGAGGCAGGTGGGAAATCAGCATCAAGTGATTTCCAATTATCCTAACAGTGTGATTGTTTGTATTGTCAGCCCATCTGCCCCACCTAGTGAGGAGGTGTTTGTGGACTCGTCCTGGCTTTGTGAGTATATGACCATGGTAGTATTTCACTCCCATGTTTCTTCCTCCACTCTTGCCCAACCCACTCCCATGTTTCTTCCTCCAGTCCTGCCCCACCCACTCCCATGTTTCTTCCTCCAGTCCTGCCCCACCCACAACCATGTTTCTTCTTCCAGTCCTGCCCCACCCACTCCCATGTTTCTTCCTCCAGTCCTGCCCCACCCACTCCCATGTTTCTTCCTCCAGTCCTGCCCCACCCACTCCCATGTTTCTTCCTCCAGTCCTGTCCTCCAGTCCTGCCCCACCCACTCCCATGTTTCTTCCTCCAGTCCTGCCCAACCACCTTCCATGTTTCTTCCTCCAGTCCTGCCCAACCACCTTCCATGTTTCTTCCCCAGTCCTGCCCCTCCTACTCCCATGTTTCTTCCTCCAGTCCTGCCCCACCCACTCCCATGTTTCTTCCTCCAGTCCTGCCCAACCACCTTCCATGTTTCTTCCTCCAGTCCTGCCCAACCACCTTCCATGTTTCTTCCTCCAGTCCTGCCCAACCACCTTCCATGTTTCTTCCTCCAGTCCTGCCCAACCACCTTCCATGTTTCTTCCTCCAGTCCTGCCCAACCACCTTCCATGTTTCTTCCCCAGTCCTGCCCCTCCCACTCCCATGTTTCTTCCTCCAGTCCTGCCCCACCCACTCCCATGTTTCTTCCTCCAGTCCTGCCCCACCCACTCCCATGTTTCTTCCTCCAGTCCTGCCCAACCACCTTCCATGTTTCTTCCTCCAGTCCTGCCCAACCACCTTCCATGTTTCTTCCTCCAGTCCTGCCCAACCACCTTCCATGTTTCTTCCCCAGTCCTGCCCCTCCCACTCCCATGTTTCTTCCTCCAGTCCTGCCCCACCCACTCCCATGTTTCTTCCTCCAGTCCTGCCCCACCCACTCCCATGTTTCTTCCTCCAGTCCTGCCCAACCACCTTCCATGTTTCTTCCTCCAGTCCTGCCCAACCACCTTCCATGTTTCTTCCTCCAGTCCTGCCCCACCCACTCCCATGTTTCTTTCTCCTGTCCTGCCCCACCCACTCCCATGTTTCTTCCTCCAGTCCTGCCCCACCCACAACCATGTTTCTTCTTCCAGTCCTGCCCCACCCACTCCCATGTTTCTTCCTCCAGTCCTGCCCCACCCACTCCCATGTTTCTTCCTCCAGTCCTGCCCAACCCACTCCCATGTTTCTTCCTCCAGTCCTGCCCCACCCACTCCCATGTTTCTTCCTCCACTCTTGCCCAACCCACTCCCATGTTTCTTCCTCCACTCTTGCCGCACCCACTCCCATGTTTCTTCCTCCAGTCCTGCCCCACCCACTCCCATGTTTCTTCCTCCAGTCCTGCCCCACCCACTCCCATGTTTCTTCCTCCAGTCCTGCCCCACCCACTCCCATGTTTCTTCCTCCAGTCCTGCCCAACCCACTCCCATGTTTCTTCCTCCAGTCCTGTCCTCCAGTCCTGCCCCACCCACTCCCATGTTTCTTTCTCCTGTCCTGCCCCACCCACTCCCATGTTTCTTTCTCCAGTCCTGCCCAACCCACTCCCATGTTTCTTCCTCCACTCTTGCCCAACCCACTCCCATGTTTCTTCCTCTACTCTTGCCGCACCCACTCCCATGTTTCTTCCTCCAGTCCTGCCCCACCCACTCCCATGTTTCTTCCTCCAGTCCTGCCCCACCCACCCCCATGTTTCTTCCTCCAGTCCTGCCCCACCCACAACCATGTTTCTTCCTCCAGTCCTGCCCCACCCACTCCCATGTTTCTTCCTCCAGTCCTGCCCCACCCACTCCCATGTTTCTTCCTCCAGTCCTGCCCAACCCACTCCCATGTTTCTTCCTCCAGTCCTGTCCTCCAGTCCTGCCCCACCCACTCCCATGTTTCTTCCTCCAGTCCTGCCCAACCTGCTTCCATGTTTCTTCCCCAGTCCTGCCCCACCCACTCCCATGTTTCTTCCTCCAGTCCTGCCCCACCCACTCCCATGTTTCTTCCTCCAGTCCTTCCCCACCCACTCCCATGTTTCTTTCTCCTGTCCTGCCCCTCCCACTCCCATGTTTCTTCCTCCAGTCCTGCCCCACCCACTCCCATGTTTCTTCCTCCAGTCCTGCCCCACCCACTCCCATGTTTCTTCCTCCAGTCCTGCCCCACCCACTCCCATGTTTCTTTCTCCTGTCCTGCCCCACCCACTCCCATGTTTCTTTCTCCAGTCCTGCCCCACCCACTCCCATGTTTCTTTTTCTCCAGTCCTGCTCGACCCACTCCCATGTTTATTCCTCCAGTCCTGCCCCACCCACTCCCATGTTTCTTCCTCCAGTCCTGCCCCACCCACACACGTTTCTTCCTCCAGTCCTGCCCCACCCACTCCCATGTTTCTTCCTCCAGTCCTGCCCCACCCACACACGTTTCTTCCTCCAGTCCTGCCCCACCCACTCCCATGTTTATTCCTCCAGTCCTGCCCCACCCACTCCCATGTTTCTTCCTCCAGTCCTACCCCACCCACTCCCATGTTTCTTCCTCCAGTCCTGCCCCACCCACTCCCATGTTTCTTCCTCCAGTCCTGCCCCACCCACTCCCATGTTTCTTCCTCCAGTCCTGCCCCACCCACTCCCATGTTTCTTCCTCCAGTCCTACCCCACCCACTCCCATGTTTATTCCTCCAGTCCTGCCCCACCCACTCCCATGTTTCTTCCTCCAGTCCTGCCCCACCCACACACATGTTTCTTCCTCCAGTCCTGCCCCACCCACTCCCATGTTTCTTCCTCCAGTCCTGCCCCACCCACTCCCATGTTTCTTCCTCCAGTCCTGCCCCACCCACTCCCATGTTTCTTCCTCCAGTCCTACCCCACCCACTCCCATGTTTCTTCCTCCAGTCCTGCCCCACCCACACACATGTTTCTTCCTCCAGTCCTGCCCCACCCACTCCCATGTTTCTTCCTCCAGTCCTACCCCACCCACTCCCATGTTTCTTCCTCCCATGATGTCTTTGTTCTGTATGTTAACAGTCATGATGTCACTGTTGTGTATGTAAACAGTCATGATGTCATTGTTCTGTTAACAGTCATGATGTCATTGTTCTGTATGTTAACAGTCATGATGTCATTGTTCTGTTAACAGTCATGATGTCATTGTTCTGTATGTTAACAGTCATGATGTCATTGTTCTGTATGTAAACAGTCATGATGTCATTGTTCTGTTAACAGTCATGATGTCATTGTTCTGTATGTTAACAGTCATGATTATTTTCAGACATGGACTGCAGTTATTGCAATAAGCACATGAATGAGAACCTGGCATCCCGATTCCATGGTGAGAAGCTTGTCCTGCAGATGCATGCCCAGTATGGTGTGTTCAGCAAGAGCAGCAGAGGATACGATGCCAGTAGGGAGGAGGTGAAGCTCTTCAAGGATGAATTCCTGAGGAAAGTCTGCAGTTTGCGGAACATGAGAGGTGGTGTCTTAATCATCCATGTCACGGGGAAATCAGTGGAAAAAGGCCCATCGCTTGATGACTTTGATCAAAAGGTGGGCGAAGAACTGAGCAGAATGGTAGAAGATGACACAATGTATGTTGAAAACTATGATCGTCGCTGGTATATGGAACAACAGAGTTATGTAGACGAACACGGGCAGCCACATAATGAGACAGTTTACCTGGACTATATTATCTTAAGTGTGAAGGGCTCATCGTCAGTGTCAACAAAAGATTTCAATACTCTTGTCACATGGGATGGGAGTAAAGAAAGACCCAAGGCGAGGGAGATCTCCAGACTGTTATGGAAGCGTAGCCTCCAACCATGCTTCCCAGATGAGCCTATGGATGACTGTGAGTTTATTGAAGGTGAAAGGGTGGATCTGTATGAGAGTCGGGACATTCAGCTCAAGAGACTGTTTGAGAAGGACCTTGTGAAGGATCTCCATGACCATGCAAGCTTGGTGGACAAGTCGCTGGCCTACAGGATTGCCTTTAGGCTGAAGGAGAAGCTGCATCTCTTGGAGTACATGACGTCATTCACCAAACTCAAGAATGGAGGCTCCTTCTTCTGTGGCATTGAAGAAGAGAAAATAGTGCTGGTGACGGAGAAGAGCAAGAGTTCGAAGAAGAGCAAGAAGAAGAAAAAGAAAGCACAAGGTTCAAAGGTAGTAACAGAAGATGACAAAGAGGAGGAAGTTGATCCTGCAGGCTCTCATCTGACTGCAGCCAATGTCCCTGGTGATATTCCTGTTCTGGGCAGTGTAGTGAACACATGTGACCGTGGAGGACCTCATGTGGCAACTCCAAATGTTCCTGACACAGGGATAGCAGTGAACACACACAACTCTTCTTTACAGGGGTTTAATTCTGTTACCAGAAATGCCAAAGGAGAGAATGAATTAACCAACAAATCCTTTACAAAATGTGATGATGTAAAAATGTCTAACATCAGGCTGTATACAGATTCAATAATACCAGATGCAGGTGAGCAGATTCAAGATGTTGCTAAATCAGCTCAGCAATCAAATGCTCAAAGTAGACTAGCATCCACACATACACAATCTGGAGTTGAGTCTGGACTAGGAAATGATAGACATGAAAAGGGTGTTGAGAAGGCTGCGAGTGAGGTGCCCTCTGTGCCCGGAACAATGGGGTCACCTCCTGCTGCGGATGGGGTGGTAAGCCAGGGCTACAAGACAGGCTATAATCTAGTGAAGGGCGTCACACTTATGCCTGAGGAGAGGCTAGAACTGCATGATGAGATCTTGCGATGTGTCCAGGAAGACATGTTGTGGCTAAGGAGTGATGGCAGTGTGTTAACGAGGGAGGAGATAGCAGGTGAGGTGGAAATCCGATTCCACTGCACATCAGTGGCCTGTCAAACGTTCGTAGTTGAGGTGCGGTGCAAAAATGTTTTCTCAGGAATTGTGTTCTACAAGAGCTGTGGCCCAGATGCATTCAGACTTACGGGGATCTCGGAGAAAAGACCTCGGGTTGTTAGAATGGATCCCAAGGAGTGGATCCTTCTGCTCAAGAAAGCCATGGAGTGTGATAACTGTGAGAGCACAATATGGAAACTTCGAGCAGATGAAGGATAAGTTTGGGTACCGTACTTTCCTGTGTAAAGCTGTGTAGAGGGGGTGTACATATTACATGCTGTCAATGAGTTTCGATTACTTTACCCAAAACACAGACATTTAAGAATTAATGTCAATATTTTTTACATGTATGGAGGTATATACGTAAAAACAGGTGTGCAAACTGTGAAAATCTGTGTAGCCATAGGCGGATTTACTCAAAGTGTGCACACCAGATTTTATGTTTATGCCTCCATATAATCTCTGATTACACAATTTATTCTATATCTTGACTTATGTTTGTAATCTAGTTTAAATATATGATTTCATTCAATATTGTTCACATTAATTATGGCAAAATTGTGTGTGAGGTGATTGGCAGATTACACCAATTCACTATTATTTACAACAGACCAGATTACCGCTAATGACTCCCTTGAAAGAAACCTTAGCTGTCAGAGAATGGAACAATGTGTCATAAATGTCATACCTTGTCCCACAAAAAGTGCATGTGATACACAAGAAAATACGCAACTGTTAGGCAGTTTGCGCAGATGGAGCATATGTTTGAAGGAAAGAGAGACATATCTTGTTGACACATTTGTTTCCCAGCTGACGTTTAGTTTGATTTTCTGACTTGACTATGACTGTGCAAGTGCTGGTATGCTGTTTTTATCAAATATTCAGGTTATTATTAAGTCTGGAGTGATCAGGAACTGTGCTTCACTCTTCACTCTGGTTTGTTTTTACAAGCTTTCGAAGCCTCTTACCTGCTCAAGCTTCCTGATGTAGACCTGTGCAGATGTGGAAGTGGCGCAGCTGTCATCGTGGCATCATTAACATTGTTACCAAGTACTGTTTGTTTGTTTGTTGTTTAAAGCCGCACTCGGAAATATTGCAGTTATATGACGGCAGTCTGTAAATAAAGGAGCCTGGACCAGACAGCCCAGTGATATACTGCTGTGTAATAGTTACTCACCAGCCAGGGTATAATTCTATGCAGGTCACATCTTGTTCCAAATACACTCAGAATTCAGGCAGGCTGTGATGATTACACGTTCACAACATGGATCTTGGTGACATAACATTGTTTCTTGTGCTACAAATATCAAAGGAGCTGTCTGCACACTTGTCTCTGAAATAGCTATAAAACATCCTGTGTGCCCCTGAAGATGCCTGGTCGCCAGTATGTGAGGGTCGCCAGTCGCCAGTATGTGGGGGTCCCCAGTCGCCAGTATGTGGGGGTTGCCAGTCGCCAGTATGTGAGGGTCACCAGTATGTGAGGGTCCCCAGTCGCCAGTATGTGAATGTCGCCAGTCCCCAGTATGTGAATGTCGCCAGTCCCCAGTATGTGAGGGTCGCAAGTGGCCAGTATGTGAGGGTCGCCAGTCCCCAGTATGTGAGGGTCGCCAGTCCCCAGTATGTGAGGGTCGCCAGTCCCCAGTATGTGAGGGTCGCAAGTGGCCAGTATGTGAGGGTCGCCAGTCCCCAGTATGTGAGGGTCGCAAGTGGCCAGTATGTGAGGGTCGCCAGTGGCCAGTATGTGAGGGTCGCCAGTCCCCAGTATGTGAGGGTCGCCAGTGGCCAGTATGTGAGGGTCGCCAGTATGTGAGGGTCGCCAGTCCCCAGTATGTGAGGGTCGCCAGTATCTGAGGGTAGCCAGTCGCCAGTATGTGAGGGTCGCCAGTCGCCAGTATGTGAGGGTCGCCAGTCGCCAGTATCTGAGGGTCACCAGTCGCCAGTATGTGAGGGTCGCCGACAGTCACCAGTATGTGAGGGTCGCCAGTCGCCAGTATCTGAGGGTCGCCAGTCGCCAGTATGTGAGGGTCAACAGTCGCCAGTATGTGAGAGTCGCCGACAGTCACCAGTATGTGAGGGTCGCCAGTCGCCAGTATGTGAGGGTCGCCAGTATGTGAGGGTCCCCAGTCGCCAGTATGTGAGGGTCGCCAGTCGCCAGTATCTGAGGGTCGCCAGTCGCCAGTATGTGAGGGTCGCCAGTATGTGAGGGTCGCCAGTATGTGAGGGTCGCCAGTCGCCAGTATGTGAGGGTCGCCAGTCGCCAGTATCTGAGGGTTGCCAGTCGCCATTATGTGAGGGTCGCCAGTCGCCAGTATGTGAGGGTCACCGACAGTCGCAAGTATGTGAGGGTCGCCAGTCGCCAGTATGTGAGGGTCGCCAGTCGCCAGTATATGAAGGTCGCCACTCAGAGCCCCATGACCCAGTTCATATCAGCAGCTTGTGTATCACTGGACATGAACATTGTTATAAACCCTGTCGTGTCACCACGCTGGGGGTAACTTCCCCATGTAGATTGTAGTTTGCATACCAGTAGGTGTCTTCAGATCTTTAATACTGATGGCAGAATGTAGAAGTACTTTATGCCAATAAGCCACAACGCTGCCCTATGTGAACAGTGGTGAATGATAATGTGAGGACATATAGTCAGTGGCTCTCCACATTATCTGGAGACTTGGCCACAGTTGATCATCCCAAACTGGCTTGCACAAGACTAAGATCCAATGAAAGTCTTGTCGTATTGCTACAGTGATATTAGAACACAGTGCTTTGCAGACCAGTGTGTTGTCATCAGTTACCATGATGTCCTACTCGTTGATAATAGGAAATTATCCTCACCCTGCCCTGGATATTGGAAACTTATCCTCTCGCCTTGATATATTTTATTTACGGAAGACCCTCGGGTGTGATGTTCTTTTTGTATCTGCCACCTGGAAGCGACAGTGTTATGCTAAGTGCAGGGTTGTTTTCCTTTCCAAAACATAGGTGTGTAGACTGTTGGCTCTCTGTGTTATTTACAGTGGAAGCAAAAGGTTTATGCAGGTGCATTGTTGTTGCCTATTAGTTGGGAACTTGGGACTCAGTGTTCAGTGTTGTAAAATCTATTAATATTGTTTATAACAATCAGTCACGTCTAATATTTCATTGGTATCCGTCAGAGATACATTTATACGATAATTTTCAATTTCATTGATGAACAGAAATTCTTGAATACTTGTTTGAATTACAGCACCTCTTTCAAATATCTTTGTCTCAGACACACAGCCTTGTGTATTAGCGAATATGCATTTTTATTTTTTTATATTTCATTTAAGACACACACACTGCTATATAAGTGCAATTACCTTGAACACGTCGCTAACCCCAGTTCCCCTCATCACCTTGCTGTTTTCCTGTTACATGAGTATCTCCCAGCTCTCCCCATCCATGTCAGAGGTCAGGGGGGTGCTTGCTGCAGGTTGTGTCCAGATGCAGCACACTATAACCCAGGCACTCTTTGACATTTTGTTATATACGTTTCGTTCCAAGCAAAGTCTTGTCTGTTTATTTTGTAAAATATCTAACATTTTGTTGAACTTTTATTTTTGTTAGAAATGACCATGCATCTATTTTCATGATTTTACATGTGTCAGAAAACCAAAGAGAACATTCCAGAAAATGTGTTTACAGCATTTCTAATTGTGTTGTTTTAGTTAAGGTAATGTATACTTGGAAGCTTCTTAGCTTTTGCAGATAAAAATAATTTCCTATGGTTTTCCTAATTTATGTTCGTGGCAGTTGGTGAGACTGATAGCAACTTCTGACTTCTACAGATGTATAAGCTTTACCAGGTTCTAGTTATGTTGATGTTCGCTTAGTACTGATTCAGGCTTGAACTGGCAGGGTTTGCCTGGTCCAGACTTGAACAGTAGTGTCAGTGATGTTTTGTGTGATGGCACGTGGTGCACATCGGGTGAAGTCATGTGGCTGGAGAGAGAGGCGACTTGTGTCTGTGTATCTATTCTGTCCATCACAGAATCACAGGCCACACATCGGGTGAAGTCATGTGGCTGGAGAGAGAGGCGACTTGTGTCTGTGTATCTCTTCTGTCCATCACAGAATCACAGGCCACACATCGGGTGAAGTCGTGTGGCTGGAGAGAGAGGCGACTTGTGTCTGTGTATCTCTTCTGTCCATCACAGAATCACAGGTCACACATCGGGTGAAGTCGTGTGGCTGGAGAGAGAGGCGACTTGTGTCTGTGTATCTCTTCTGTCCATCACAGAATCACAGGCCACACATCGGGTGAAGTCATGTGGCTGGAGAGAGAGGCGACTTGTGTCTGTGTATCTCTTCTGTCCATCACAGAATCACAGGTCACACATCGGGTGAAGTCGTGTGGCTGGAGAGAGAGGCGACTTGTGTCTGTGTATCTCTTCTGTCCATCACAGAATCACAGGTCACACATCGGGTGAAGTCGTGTGGCTGGAGAGAGAGGCGACTTGTGTCTGTGTATCTCTTCTGTCCATCACAGAATCACAGGTCACACATCGGGTGAAGTCATGTGGCTGGAGAGAGAGGCGACTTGTGTCTGTGTATCTCTTCTGTCCATCACAGAATCACAGGTCACACATTGGGTGAAGTCATGTGGCTGGAGAGAGAGGCGACTTGTGTCTGTGTATCTCTTCTGTCCATCACAGAATCACAGGTCACACATCGGGTGAAGTCGTGTGGCTGGAGAGAGAGGCGACTTGTGTCTGTGTATCTCTTCTGTCCATCACAGAATCACAGGTCACACATCGGGTGAAGTCATGTGGCTGGAGAGAGAGGCGACTTGTGTCTGTGTATCTCTTCTGTCCATCACAGAATCACAGGTCACACATCGGGTGAAGTCGTGTGGCTGGAGAGAGAGGCGACTTGTGTCTGTGTATCTCTTCTGTCAATCACAGAATCACAGGTCACACATTGGGTGAAGTCATGTGGCTGGAGAGAGGCGACTTGTGTCTGTGTATCTCTTCTGTCAATCACAGAATCACAGGTCACACATCGGGTGAAGTCATGTGGCTGGAGAGAGAGAGGAGACTTCTTAAGTGTCTGTGTATCTCTCCTGTCCATCACAGAATCACAGGTTATGAAATGGGTGATGGATTAGTGTGGTTAAAGTTTTGTCAAGTCACGCATTGAGCCCTTCTTGGTGTCCACACTTGCAGTGTACACTGATTGTCAGACCAGGATAAGGCTGTGAGCCTGCACCAAGTGTATGGAGCCTAATGTATTGTGAAACACATTATTGTGCACAACTTTCGAAGACTGCTGTGAGAAATGTTGTACTCCTTGAGTTTCAGCCAGGTTGGTAATAGTTACGAACCAGTATTGTACAAAACTGTTGTATGAGAGTACCAGATTGTGACTTGTCTAGGACTAGGGGAAAAGACTCGCGAAGAATGCTTGTGTGTGGCAGTGAGTGACAGGTGTGTGTCAGGGACAGGCCGGTGAAACAGAACATTCGTACCTTCAGTGGGCTTGTCACCTGCAATTAGGAAGGGGAAACATCTGTTTCAGTCAGAACAAGAGTTGCAGAGTTAGGGCACAAGTTAGTTCATGTACTTCTAACTGTCATAGAAACCATTGTAATGATATATTGTTTGAATCACTTGTGCGATCTGTGGAGTATTGCGTGATTCGTACAAAACAACATAGTAACTTAGGTTGCAGAGATACCAATAATGTAAGGCTCTTGTAGAGCTCCCTCCAGTCTCTCAGACATTAGTGTTAATATGCTAAGGCTATAGATGCTGTTCTGCTTCTGTTCATTATGTGAGGTCGGTGTAACCAGAGTGAACAATGTTGATACAAGGAATCCGGCCTGGGGGGCATGGTGCATTGACTCTATTTGGGTCCTCATGTTGCAGATGTATAGAGTTGTTACAGATGCATGGAGTTATTACAGATGCATAGAGTTGTTACAGATGGATAGAGTTGTTACAGATGCATACAGATGGATAGAGTTGTTACAGATGCATAGAGTTGTTACAGATGGATAGAGTTGTTACAGATGGATAGAGTTGTTACAGATGCATAGAGTTGTTACAGATGGATAGAGTTGTTACAGATGGATAGAGTTGTTACAGATGGATAGAGTCGTTACAGATGCATAGAGTCGTTACAGATGGATAGAGTTGTTACAGATGGATAGAGTTGTTACAGATGGATAGAGTTGTTACAGATGGCTGGAGTTGTTACAGAAGGATAGAGTTGTTACAGATGCATAGAGTTGTTACAGATGCATAGAGTTGTTATAGATGCATACAGATGGATAGAGTTGTTACAGATGGATAGAGTTGTTACAGATGCATAGAGTTGTTACAGATGATAGAGTTGTTACCGATGGATAGAGTTGTTACAGATGGATAGAGTTGTTACAGATGATAGAGTTGTTACAGATGGATAGAGTTGTTACAGATGGATAGAGTTGTTACAGATGCATAGAGTTGTTACAGATGCATAGAGTTGTTACAGATGATAGAGTTGTTACAGATGGATAGAGTTGTTACAGATGGATAGAGTTGTTACAGATGCATAGAGTTGTTACAGATACATAGAGTTGCATAGACTTTACAGATGGATAGAGTTGTTACAGATGGATAGAGTTGTTACAGATGGATAGAGTTGTTACAGATGGATAGAGTTGTTACAGATGCATAGAGTTGTTACAGATGGATAGAGTTGCATAGACTTTACAGATGGATAGAGTCGTTACAGATGGATAGAGTTGTTACAGATGGATAGAGTTGTTACAGATGGATAGAGTTGTTACAGATGCATAGAGTTGTTACAGATACATAGAGTTGCATAGACTTTACAGATGGATAGAGTCGTTACAGATGGATAGAGTTGTTACAGAAGGATAAAGTCGTTACAGATGGATAGAGTCGTTACAGATGCATAGAGTTGTTACAGATACATAGAGTTGCATAGACTTTACAGATGGATAGAGTTGTTACAGATGGATAGAGTTGTTACAGATGGATAGAGTTGTTACAGATGGATAGAGTTTTTACAGATGCATAGAGTTGTTACAGATACATAGAGTTGCATAGACTTTACAGATGGATAGAGTTGTTACAGATGGATAGAGTTTTTACAGATGCATAGAGTTGTTACAGATACATAGAGTTGCATAGACTTTACAGATGGATAGAGTTGTTACAGATGGATAGAGTTGTTACAGATGGCTGGAGTTTTTACAGATGGAGAGAGTTGTTACAGATGGATAGAGTCGTTACAGATGGATATAGTTGTTACAGATGGATAGAGTTGTTACAGATGGATAGAGTTGTTACAGATGCATAGAGTTGTTACAGATACATAGAGTTGCATAGACTTTACAGATGGATAGAGTCGTTACAGATGCATAGAGTTGTTACAGATGCATAGAGTTGTTACAGATGGATAGAGTTTTTACAGATGCATAGAGTTGTTACAGATACATAGAGTTGCATAGACTTTACAGATGGATAGAGTTGTTACAGATGGATAGAGTTGTTACAGATGCATAGAGTTGTTACAGATGCATAGAGTTGTTACAGATGGATAGAGTTGTTACAGATGGATAGAGTTGTTACAGATGCATAGAGTTGTTACAGATGGATAGAGTTGTTACAGATGTATAGAGTTGTTACAGATGGATTGAGTTGTTACAGATGCATAAAGTTGTTACAGATGGATAGAGTTGTTACAGATGGATAGAGTTGTTACAGATGGATAGAGTTGTTACAGATGGATAGAGTTGTTACAGATGCATAGAGTTGTTACAGATGCATAGAGTTGTTACAGATGGATAGAGTTGTTACAGATGGATAGAGTTGTTACAGATGGATAGAGTTGTTACAGATGCATACAGATGGATAGAGTTGTTACAGATGGATAGAGTTGTTACAGATGGATAGAGTTGTTACAGATGCATAGAGTTGTTACAGATGGATAGAGTTGTTACAGATGCATAGAGTTGTTACAGATGGCTAGAGTTGTTACAGATGGATAGAGTTGTTACAGATGGATAGAGTTGTTACAGATGATAGAGTTGTTACAGATGGATAGAGTTGTTACAGATGGCTAGAGTTGTAACAGATGGATAGAGTTGTTACAGATGCATAGAGTTGTTACAGATGGATAGAGTTGTTACAGATGGATAGAGTTGTTACAGATGGATAGAGTTGTTACAGATGCATAGAGTTGTTACAGATGGATAGAGTCGTTACAGATGGATAGAGTTGTTACAGATGGATAGAGTTGTAACAGATGGATAGAGTTGTTACAGATGGATAGAGTTGTTACAGATGCATAGAGTTGTTACAGATGCATAGAGTTGTTACAGATGGATAGAGTTGTTACAGATGGATAGAGTTGTGAGGTCATGAGATGATGATCAGGAGTCGCACAACGGGACACTTTATGTAAACTGATTCCCTTCAGACGATGATACTGTTTTGTTTAGATTCTACGTGGACTTTGGAAAGAGCAACAGATGCAGATCCTAATATATACTGGGCTTGGGGTAGTGTGAATGTGCTGGTTTTGTAGACATTCTAGATCTACATTGCTATGTCAAATGCTGAATTGTTCCTGACAATGTAGATTAGAAACCTTAGTATCGTCATTATTATTATTATTATTATTATTATTATTATTATTATTCAAATCAAGGTAAGTACATTGAGATACTGTGTATGTGTTCAGGACAGTTCAGGATTTCTGCTGGTAAGTAGAACCAGGATGTATTCGTTTAAAGTGAATGTTACTTCCTAAATACAGTAAACAACGTTTATAGCGAACACGCTTATAACGAACTGACGGATATAACAAATTTAGTTTTAGGTCCCGGCCATTTGCAGTATGTATGCTGTGTATATGCTTATAACGAACTATGGCTATAACCTACCAAACTTAGTGGTCCCTTTTAGTTCGTTGTAACCGTAGTGTACTGTTCTGTAAGTCCACATGCGTTGGTTGTATGTGGATATGTCGACGGCTTTCTGTTGTGGCGGAGGCACTTCACCACCGAGACGAACACACTACACAGACATAGGGAGCTTTCCATATTTAGTGGGATATGACCTTTGGAGATATGTTTTTCTCATATGGATAAAACATTGGTATTTATAGGATTTATGTATGCTACTGCGGTTGGATAATAAATGTCTAGATGTCCTCAAGTGCAGCTGATATTCCATTGATGAAGTCATAAGACTCGACCTATGTCATGCAGCCAGGTCAGAAGGCAGCAGCGTCAGCTACTCAGCGTTTTACAAACAAACTATTGTGTCCTTTATGCATGCAAACTACATGTGGACCTGTGATCCTATGTAAGTCACGATGCATTAAGCAGGCCTGATACAACAGGATACTGTTCAAAGCTGCGTCAAGGCCAATTGCATCTCTGTACATCAAGTTGATCATCTTTATCTGATAGATAGTTTTAATGTAGTCAGTCTTTACTAACATTTCACTGAGACATCTGCAGTCACGTCAGTTCTGAGAAGCTGTGGGTCATCTTCACCTGACTGCTGATAGTTCCTCTGTTGTGATATTACTGGGGCAACACTTAATGTACAAAATGCCAGGAATTTTCGCTATCAGTCCTGAGTGAGTGAATTTTTTGTAAGTACCAAGCTTTGGCGAGAAACAAAAAAGTGTTGCCCAATACAGACTTTTGCTTCATAGCAAAAGGCCGGGCTAACCCTAGGTTTATGTCCACAAGATGTGTACCCTGCCCGGCCTGATCAGTCAGTTGACCACCGTGTATCTGGCTATGGTGATGTGAATAGCCTTGGCCACAACTTGCCAGTGTCTATGAAAGTGTAGGTGACAAGATACATAGCCACAACTTGCCAGTGTCTATGAAAGTGTAGGTGACAAGATACATAGCCACAACTTGCCAGTGTCTATGAAAGTGTAGGTGACAAGATACATAGCCACAACTTGCCAGTGTCTATGAAAGTGTAGGTGACAAGATACATAGCTACAACTTGCCAGTGTCTATGAAAGTGTAGGTGACAAGATACATAGCCACAACTTGCCAGTGTCTATGAAAGTGTAGGTGACAAGATACATAGCCACAACTTGCCAGTGTCTATGAAAGTGTAGGTGACAAGATACATAGCCACAACTTGCCAGTGTCTATGAAAGTGTAGGTGACAAGATACATAGCTACAACTTGCCAGTGTCTATGAAAGTGTAGGTGACAAGATACATAGCCACAACTTGCCAGTGTCTATGAAAGTGTAGGTGACAAGATACATAGCCACAACTTGCCAGTGTCTATGAAAGTGTAGGTGACAAGATACATAGCCACAACTTGCCAGTGTCTATGAAAGTGTAGGTGACAAGATACATAGCCACAACTTGCCAGTGTCTATGAAAGTGTAGGTGACAAGATACATAGCCACAACTTGCCAGTGTCTATGAAAGTGTAGGTGACAAGATACATAGCTACAACTTGCCAGTGTCTATGAAAGTGTAGGTGACAAGATACATAGCTGCAACTTGCCAGTGTCTATGAAAGTGTAGGTGACAAGATACATAGCTACAACTTGCCAGTGTCTATGAAAGTGTAGGTGACAAGATACATAGCTGCAACTTGCCAGTGTCTATGAAAGTGTAGGTGACAAGATACATAGCTACAACTTGCCAGTGTCTATGAAAGTGTAGGTGACAAGATACATAGCTACAACTTGCCAGTGTCTATGAAAGTGTAGGTGACAAGATACATAGCTGCAACTTGCCAGTGTCTATGAAAGTGTAGGTGACAAGATACATAGCTACAACTTGCCAGTGTCTATGAAAGTGTAGGTTACAAGATACATAGCTACAACTTGCCAGTGTCTATGAAAGTGTAGGTGACAAGATACATAGCTACAACTTTTAAGTGATTTAGTTACGTATAAAGTTTTACTGTTGTTAAGTTAAAAACCGACATGGAAAACCGTTATTTTTGTTCGATTGATATTGAGGGCCAATGAGCAGCCAGTTAGCAGACATCTTTAGGGTGTTGGGCAACAATCTAGCCGACAAAACAGATGTTAGATAGTAAACACATCAGACATTTGACTTTTCTTGTCACATAACATGTTTATGTTTGTTTTACCCCAACAAAATTGATAATTTCATGAGTGAAAATGTAAACATCCGGTCCAAAGATAAGGCAAACATGCTGTCACATGCATCACTGCATCAGCATGTGATACCTACTCATCCTACGTTCTGAGTCGTACCATGCATCTCAGAGTTCACAAGTAAATGACGAGTATTTGAACACATTAACGCTTTTCCGTAACGCGAATGTCTGTTGAAAGCCTGTCTTGCATCCTTAAAACATGTACAGAAATAACTTCGATATACTGTACTATAAAATGCACAAAGAAATACCCTATTGTTCAAGTACCATTGCATGTAAGGTTTATTCACATCTTCAGGACACTGCCTAGTTTCATTTCAATAAGTGACATACGATTAGGATCAAAGCTACATGGTATTTGGATAAATCTAACTTGAAGATGGGTGAGTGTCCATACACATGTAAATTGTGTAAATGTAATTGAAATAAAACAAACTAAGCGGCAAAAGAAAGTATAGGTTGGCAATTTGTAATTTTCCTAAAAACACCGATAACTAGTAGAAAGTGGGTATTGGGAATATGACTGCCCCGGAACAGGTACCAAAAAACACCTCACCCG